AAAAAAAAAAAAAAAAAAAAAAAAAAAAAGCATAAAAAAAGAAATAAAACAAGACACCGAGGGGATGAAATACCAGAAAATATCAGCAGTAAAATAAGAAGGAATAGCTCAGCATGGTGGTGCATACTTGTAATCCCAGCACTCCGGAGGCTAAGTTCAAGTCTGCACTACATAGCAAGACCTTGTCTCAAAAAAAAAGTAAGAAGCAGCTCAAAATTATGATAGAAAACACTTCTCTGCAATGAGTAAGTGCTAATAACAAATGTAAAATCCCAATAGCTAACTGGAAATTAGTAACAGGACTTTGTATGTTTCCTAATTTCATAATAATTATCATAATAACTCATCAGCTATTTTAGTTGGTTCAGTCCTACATTTAACGTGAGGAACCTCAGGGTAGAATTAAACATTTTTTTTAGATAGGGTCTCACTATGTAGTTCAGGCTGGCCTTGAACTCACTGTGTAGCCCAGGTTGGCCTGGAATTCACGATCCTCCTGCCTCAGCTTCCAAGTGCTGGGATTACAGGCATGGGCCATCACCCCCGGCCTTCATCCATTGGTTTTAGATGTGTTTTTCTAAAGTAGTGAAGTCTTTCATGTGGAAACTATTTTAAGTAAAAGAAGACAGCTATCAACTATCCGGCCGCAGATTATTCCACTGTTCCTGTTCCTCCTTCCGCTCTGACAAACAGGGCTGCCTTAATAACTGAGGTCGAACAGGTCGCTCAGCCCAAGACCGCCCAGGTCAAGCCCGGCGTTGTGTCTGAGGCAGTGCCTGCGGAAACCTCTGCATGGAGAAGCCCGGAGCAGGGATTTGAGTGGCGGCGCCCAGAGCGCGCGCGCTCCAAATTGAGCGGAAGAAGGCTCAGAGGACTGGCCAATAGCTGGGTGCGCTCCTCTCCAGGGGATTTCAGCGGACCAATCACAATCCTTGCGAGGCAGGAGGCGGAGCCACGCCAACCGTCCCGGCTCACGCCTGTTCCTACAGTCCCTGTTGTGTGGTGAGGTCGCGCAGGTAAGATTTTTTTTTTTTTTCCCTGATTCCCACCTGAGAAAACGGCCTCCGGAGGAGGTCGCAGTGAGTGTTGGGGGAAGACGTCCAGTTTCTGCCTCATATGGGCGTTTTCCTCTCCTCTGAGAGGAGTCCGAAAACCTGCTGGTAAGCGGCGGCTTGCACCGCGTCTTCCTAATGAATTTGTGGAAGCTCTCTCCAGCCGAGCAGAGGGTCGGGGGATCCGCTGAATGGAAAAGACGCGCCTTTACTCGTTGGGGGTATGCCCAGGTTGTTATTTCACCTCAGCTCACGTCTTGGTCACTATTAATTTAGTACACTTACTACTGGTTTGGATACAAAGTGGGTTTTCGTTGTTTTCGAGACTGGGTCTCGCTAAGTTGCCCCACCTGAGTTTGCAGTCGTCCTGCCTCAGCCTTCCAGAGTGCCGGGATTACAGGCGTGTCCCCCCCCTCCCCCCGTGCCCGGCTACAAAATACTTTGTAAAAACTTGGAACCTGCCATCAACAATCCTTCCTAATGAGGTGAGTTACAAAACAGGATGCAAATTGACGTGGAAACATAGAGGGTGATATTTGAAAGGTATAGGGTTGGGATGCTTTACCGCGGAGGGGGAAGAAGTTGTAATCGGATGTGTGCATATCTGTAGGTGTGAAAAAGAATGAAACTTTTATGGGCATATAGGTCAGGATAGCTGAAACATGTTTGTGGGGAGTAGTTACTGGATATAAGGCTGTAAACGTGGGTTGGAGCTAGATCGAAAAGAACCTTTATGCCCAGAAAATCAGCAGTAATTGATGGATTTTTGAGTCAGCCAGTGGCAGGTACCAGTTTCAGTTAACATAGTGAGACTGGAGTCGGGTTGCTTCTTCAAGAGAAATTGTCTTGTTCTTGGTCTGCTCTAATTCCATTACCATCCATTTCCACTGTTCTCATTCTGTATAAGGTGCAGTTTATGCGCATAGGCAGTTTTAATTGGTTGTCAGCATCTGCCTATGGAGAAAGTTGTAAGGATCTGTACATTAGAGGTAAGGTTAATTATCAAGTAACTTACTCCAAGATGATGGTCTTAAAGGGGGCTGGGTGTGTAGCTCCGTGATAGAACGTGTACTTAATATATCGGAGACCCTGGCTTCCATGCCCAGCGCCATAAAAGGGTAGCTAAGGATTTGGAAATCCATTGTTTAAAAAGGATCACAAGTTGGAGACCAGCCTGCCCAGCTTAGCAAAACCCTGTCTAAAAATAAAAAAGAGCCGGGTATGGAGGTCAGCACTCCCTGGGTTCAATCCACTGGGAAAAAAAAGACAACCCAAGACTAAAATTAATCTTCACAGCAGGATTCAGATGCTTAGTGTTGCTCTAATTGCAAGATTTGAAGTCATTCATATTGTTGCTAAATTAAAACCTACCATTTTTACTAAAGTGTTTTTCTTTAAAAAAAAAGTACAATTATTCATGAGTAGTTGTTGTACTGATGAGAATACTCGTATCACTTTTTTCTATATCTGTAGAAAGTATATGTGGTCTTACTTTCAGATTCAAGCATTTGAGAAATTCAGTGTTTCAATATTTAGTATATCCTAAGCTCCTTTTTTTTCTTCTGTAAAATTCTCCTTTTCTTAAACTATTCACTTGCTGCACATTTCCATCTATGTAGCGTTGATTAGCTTTTTACTCAGGGTAAATTTTTAGTGTGTTTATTGAGATATAATTGGCATACAATATGCTACATAAATGTAGGGTGTATAATATGATAGATTTTTAACTTAAAAACACGTTTGTGAAAATATTGCCACAATTGAGATAGTGAACAAGTCTGTTACTTTCATAAGTTTTGTGACTTGTTGAGCACCTTGAATCAGCAAGTTTAGAGTTTTCATCAGCTTTGTGACCTTAAGTATTCTTTTTTAATAGTATATGTTTGTAATACATACAACTTACATTTGTTTGAATTGATATATATATATATATTTATATATGATCATTTTCAGTCCCCTTCCCCATCTCCAAATTATTATTTAATATCAACCCCAGTCCTTTTTTGGGGGACTGCAGTTACATGTGAATTAGGCTGTTTGATGTCCTATAGCACACTGCTACTCTGTTTCTTCTCCCCTTTTTTAAGTACTGGGGATTGAACTCAGTGCCTAGCACCTTCACACTGAGCTACACTTCCCTAGCTCTTTTTATATTTTGAGGCAGGGTCCTGGTGAGTCTCTAAATTGCCCAATCTGGGCTCAAACTTTTCATCTTCCTGTCTTGGCCTCCCAGAATGCTGGTCCTACAGGTGTGTACCTTCACACCCAGCTTCTTTTCAATTTCTGACAGTTATTTTTCTCTGTTTCATTTTAAATTGTATATGTTGGCTTAAGGTTGTATATTTTTAATCTCATACATGATATTTTTCATGTCTAGAAGTTTAATTTGGTCATTGTTTGTTTTGAGATGGGGTCTTTCTGTGTTGTCCAAGCTGGCCTGGAACTCATGATCCTCCTACGTAAACTTCCAAGTAGCTGGGATTACAAATGTGTACCGCACACCCAGGTTTAATTTAGGGCCCTGTTTTCTGTATTTCCCCTTAGCACACTCATTTTCTATTTCTTGAACATATAGAATATGTTTATATATTTATGGAATATATTTATATGTTTATATAATTTCTTCAGACTGTTTTTCAGACTTGGTATGTGTGTGTTATGTTGTCCAGGCTGACTGTGAGCTCTTGGGCTTAAATGTTCCTCCTACTACCTTAGCCTCCTTAGTATATAGCTTTGACTACAAGTACTCACCATCAGACCCCCACTGAGACTTTCTTTTTTTCCTTTGGTGTTTTGTTTTGTTTGTTTGTTTTGTTTTGAGACAGGGTCTCACTATGTAGTCTGGACTGGCCTTGAACTCACTTTGTAGCCCAGGATAGCCTCGAACTTGCAGTGTCCTCCTGCCTCAGCCTCCTGAGTGCTGGGATTATAGGCGTGTGCCACCATGCCTGGCTTTTCTTTTGTTTTTAAAATTTTAGTTAATATGTATTTAATTATATGTATATACTTGATGTATATTTTATTGTAAAAAGAAATTCTAGTAGATCACAAAGCTGATTTTACATATACTCATCGGTTGCAGAAAAACAGAGTACATTCCTATATGAATACAATCTGTGTACCCTCTACTTGATCATAAGAAAACCAAAATTTTAGAAGTTAAAGCTATAGAGTTTTCTGAAGTGTAAAACACTTTCTACATATCAAGATTTGGGAAATGGAAATATATATACATATGTATGTATATATACATATTGTTGAGATAGTTAAACTACTAGTTTCTCTTAGTTCACTGAAAAGAAAGGTTTGTGCTAATTTTGTTTGGATAATATTTCATGCCTATATCTTGTACTCTGAAAACCACTCTGAAGATAACATTATGCAATGTATTAATCATTGTTACTTGCCTATTATCTTGTTTTAAAATTAGAATTATAGGGCAATTTTACTCTTAAGTGCAGTATTGGAAGCTTTCCCTTTAGGTTAGAAATCAGACAAGAATACTAGCTGTCTAATCTTCTACTCCTTATACTAGAAGATATCACCAGGCAAGAAGACAGGAAGAGGATTAGAAAGGGAGAAATAAAGTGATATGTAGATGATATGATTGGCTATTTAGAATTAATATCCCACTTCCCATCCCTAAATAGATTCAACATTAACATTATGAAGTTTTAGTTAAAAATCAATTCTATTGTCACTGGGCATGGGCATGCTATAAGAAGGCTGAGGTAGGAGGATTGCAAATTTGAGGCCAGCCTGGGAACTTAGTGAGACTGTCTGAAAAGTAAAAATTTAATGGTATCTACATGTAGCACTAACTAATACGTAGAAATTTGAGTTTTAAAAACCGAGTAGGGGCTGGGGATATAGCTCAGTGGCATAGCCCTGCCTGGCAAGCGTGAGGTCGTGAGTTCAATTCCTCGTACAAAAAAAAAGTTGGTGGTGGAGTACTAGGGATTGAACTCAAGACCTTGGCACTGAGTTACATTCCCGCCCTCCCTCCCACCCCTTTTTTTAAATTGCCCAGGCTGGGCTTGAATTTACAGTTCTCCTGCCTCAGTCTCCCAGAGTGCTAGGATTACAGGAGTGTACCACCCCATCTGGCTTAAAAATATAAAGTATTTATGAGTAAATCTTACGAACATCAAGTAAAGCTTTATACAGAAAATTATAAAATCTTTGAAAAGCATAAAAAAGAAAAAAGATGTGTCATGTTCATACATCTAAGGACTCAATATTATAAAGACATGATTTCCCCCCGAATTGATCCATGGGAGGGGGGTGTACATGTATGTATGTATGTGTGAGCCTTTCTGAATTGTTTCTAAAGCCTAAGAGTTACTAAACATTCCTAAGAAATAAGAACAAGGTTGATAAGCTGTAGTCAAACATCTGTTATACACCTTAAATGCCATATATACAATTTTTGTTAGTTATACCTTAGTAAAGCTGGAAACCATTTAAATAATAATGAAAAATAACCAGTAGCAATTGAAACAGTAGGGTATTAAATGAAAGATAATCCAGCTGACCAATGGCACAAATTCAACAGTCCCAAAACAAAATGCTTATGTACATGGATTCTTAATTTATGGTAATGTCAGAGAAAGGATGGACTTTTTCAATAAACAGTACTGGGGAAGTTAGTGATTCGTTTTGGAAAACATTTTAAATTAGATGTTCACCTCCCTCACTGTACACAAAAATCAATTTCTACTGGATTAAAGATTTAAGTACAAAAAGCAAAATTATTTTTTAGAAAACACTGTGAAGAAAACTGTCTTTAAATTTGGAGCACAGAAAAAAATTAAAGTTAATATTAAGAGTGTCTTCATCAAATGCCACCATGAATAAAAGTGCAAAGATAAGCCACAAACAGAGATATATGTGATACCCCTCGGGTAGCTGGTAGAGGGAGAACTACAGTGAGAAGGGTATTGAGTAGCTATGTGTGTAGGTTTTATTTTAGATGAGAGAGGCTTTGTCCTTCACTACATCAAAGCTGTGTGCCGAAAATTCCTCAGTCATTGTTGCTATTTCATGTTTCCCTCTTTTCTCTCCTAGTGCATCTCAAACAGCCCTTGGTGTGGAGTGATAAACTGTGTGTTCCCCTTTACTTGGTGATCATGCAGAGAGCTTCACGTCTGAAGAGAGAGCTGCAAATGTTAGCCACAGAGCCACCTCCAGGCATCACATGCTGGCAAGAAAAGGACCAGATGGATGACCTGAGAGCTCGTAAGTGTCACGTCGTGACTAGATGAGTCATGACCCTGTTGAAGATTGTGCTGAAATTCAAACATTTGTATATTCTTCTAAAGTAGGGAACAGATGTAAGGTCAAAGTGCTCTACCATCTTTCTTCCCTAATTTGTTTGCATAAATAAAAGGTTTACTTGACATTTCCTGCTATTTTGACTTTTTATTTTACTTTACTGACTTATAATCAAGATTGGGCGTCAGCTCAGCACTACTATTTATACCAGATGACCATCTGAAATAGCTATGAAGTCAGGTGGAAGCATAACTGATTAGACTGCCACAGTCCAAACAAATCTATATTTTGGTCTTTGCAAGTTCTGTTTTATTTGACTTTTTAAAAATAATTATTTATTTATTTAGTTAGTTAGCTTTTTTTTGAGACTGGGTCTTACTGTGTAGCTCAGGCTGGCCTTGAACTCATGATCCTCTTGCTTCAGTCTCCCAAGTGCTAGAATTCTAGGCATGTGCCACTACACTCAGCACAACTCCTATTTTAGATCTTTTGTTTGTCCTTTGACACCATTAACCTTTAGGATATATCAGCATCATAGTATATAGCATAAAGACTTATTAAACCCCTGAGAAGAATTATTGTTGTAGACCTAGTTTCTCTCTTAGAAGCATAGAACTTACTAATTCAGATCATCTGATTCCCTTTTAACTTTTTCTTTCTTTCATTTTTTTTTCTTTTAAGAAATATTAGGTGGAGCCAACACACCTTATGAGAAAGGTGTTTTCAAACTGGAAGTCATTGTTCCTGAGAGGTTAGTATGAGTTAGATGCTTGACCTACATGGAAAAGCCTAGTCATCGGAAGACAGCACTATGTGGTACATGAGGCTTAAATGTAGGGGCTAAAGGATCTGGATATTAATCCTGTTTCTTATCATGATTTAATTTGGCAAGTTATTTTCTCTCCGGAGTTCAGTTTCCTTCTTTAAAATGATGGGGTACTTCAGGACTCAGCTTTCTCCTCTGCCCTTAAATTGTGGCAACATATATATGACAATTCTCCATTTTAGCCTTCTTTTGGAGACAGGATCTTGTTGTGTTGCCCATGCTGGCTGGCCTCAAAGTTACAATCCTGTCTCAGTCTCTAAGTACTAAGATTACAGACATACACCACCATCTCTAAAGTGGTAAGATTACAGGCATACACCACCATTTTCAGCCACTTTAAAATATACTTTTCACATTGTTGTGTGACCATCACTTCATCTATCTTAAAACTTTTTCATCTTCCCAAACTATAACTTCTTAACCAATAAATAATAACTCCCCATTCTTCGCTACCCCTATGCCCTGGCAACCACCATTCTATTTTCCATTTAATGTTAAGGCCCCTCCAAGTATCCTTTAAGGCTTTAATCATTAAGTTGTAATTTTGTGCAGAAAGGGCAAGGGATGAAATGAATATCTAACTGTTGAAATGTAACTATTTACTAAGTCAGATCCCGGCCAGACTTGTTAAAGAGAGATTAGCTTAATAGTCATGTCTTATGTCAGTCTAAAAATGGACTTAGAACTTCCCAGAGTTTGTGTCTAAGAAACATAATAACTAAATATGATGCATAAATCTTAATTGGATCGTGTTTTGAGAAATCCAGCTATAAAAAATTGGGGGATAGGGCTGGGGATATAGCTCAGTGGCACAAACGCCTGCCTGGCAAGCACAAAGTCCTGAGTTCAATCCTTGGTACTGCCAAAAAAAAAAAAAAAAGAAAGAAAGAAAGAAAAATTGGGGGATAATTAAAGAAATCAAAATATTAAATTACATTGGAAAATTACCTTTAAAATTTTTCAATGATATAATAGTGTTACAATTATATAGGAGAATGTCCTTATTCTAATACGATAAATGCTGATTTTAGAAAGTGAAGTAGCTTGAATCCAGTCAATAGATATGGGTGTTTTCATGCTATATTTGAACTTTTCTGATCATTTGTAAATTTTTATAGTAAAAATTTGAGGAGAAAGAACATTTGCCTCCCAAATGCTACTTTCCTAAATGTTTTCTAACACATAAATATATTAATGACCAGGAAACTATGTACTAAGAAACAATATTAATAATATGTCTTGTTGTTCTGTACATCCAAAGGTACCCATTTGAACCTCCACAGATCCGATTTCTGACTCCAATCTATCATCCAAACATTGATTCTGCTGGAAGGATTTGTCTAGATGTTCTTAAATTGCCACCAAAAGTGAGTGGTAGATAAAGGGTTGATTCTGGCATTGTTTTCTTCATCTACACAATTTGAATTACAGTCTCACATTCTTATTCTGTGTGTAGGGTGCCTGGAGACCAGCCCTCAACATTGCAACTGTGTTGACCTCCATTCAGCTGCTCATGGCAGAACCCAACCCTGATGACCCACTAATGGCTGACATTGTAAGTGGCGTCCTTTCCACTGCAGCACACAGGCCATTTTCTCTGTGTCTCTAACGCTATGTGCATGAGGATAGTGGTATCAGTGGCACTTAGCACTGGACGTCATTTTTTTTCCCCCACTAACTCTTTCCTTTGATTTCATCTCAGTCCTCAGAATTTAAGTATAATAAGCCAATCTTCCTCAAGAATGCCAGGCAATGGACAGAGAAGCATGCAAGACAAAAACAGAGGGTATGATATATGCTACTATTATCAGTGCATTGTTTAGTGTGTCTACAGTATATATGTATAAATAATGCTTATTAGATTTGCTAGATTTTACTGTATCCTTGAATGGTGAGTATGATCTTTTTCTCCTATTGCAGCTGTCTGATAATTAATTCAGCAAAATAGCCTAGTAGTTCAGCCACAGTAAATTTTTCCTAACAGTTGTCATCTATTGACAACACTAGAGGGCAGACAACATCTAACATAATATTTTTCGTATTCTTAGGGGTAGCAGGAATAGAGGAAAGATGAGTGAGATTCTTTTTTCCTACATTGTCTTATTTAACAGTGAGAAAGAGTTATATTTACAGAGACTTGTTGCAGAAATAGGAAGGGATTATTGGTAGAAGGGGAAAATTTATATTTCTTATGAACCATTCATGAAGAAGTGAAAAAGAAAACTTCCCCGACTTAAGCTGATAAAATTTCCTTCTTTAACAAAATACAAACTTCAAGAACATGGAAATTAGTCCTACTGGTTCTTGCTAAGTTATAGCATTCTTCAGAATGAGTTAAGTAGCAGTTATGTGTTACTTGTAAAAAGAAGTAATTAAAAGACAAAATTGAGGAAGTTGCTTTTGGAGGAAATATATATGCAGTGCAATATATAAATCTTGTAACAAAAGAAGTATCTGGAAATAAAATTATAGAGCTTCATCTTTCTGTAGTGGCATTTGTGTCAACTTTGTTGTATTTTACCCTGTCTTTTCTTTTAGGCCGATGAGGAAGAAGTGCTTGATAATTTACCAGAGGCCAGTAACTCTGAAACAGACAGCTCAACACAAAAAAGGAAGGCTAGGCAGCTAGGAGGCATAGAAAAGAAGTTTTGCCCTGATGTTTAAGGAGCTTGTCCTGATCCATCTTAGTTAATACATTCTTTATAAAGTGGTCTGATTTGCTTACCTTTCTTGAATGTTTTTCTTTGTTTTCAGTAACGTTATAATTTTTGTATCCTATAAAAGACTGTATATTTATGTACTCTGCTCTACAGTGATTCTGAGTGTAGTTTGTTTTATTTACCTTGTACATATGTATTTTGAAACCTTTTAAACCTGAAGAATAAATAATCATTTAATATTGAGTATGAGTATGTGTTTATCCTAAATGTGTATCTGGGAGTGAACTGGCCAGAGTGCTGTATACTCAGGATGTTAAAATATTTGGAATTGTCCTTTATTTTGCCAACTTACCATCATCACTAGGGACGCTTAATGTTTGATGTAGATGTGAAATAGCTATTAGAAATAATTCAGTTACCCCTAGGCTTTCAGGAAGTCCAGCTTTTTAGAAGCCTTAAAATACTCTTAAGGCAATGTACTCTTTCTGTAGTATTTAGTTTTTTTGCAGCTTTCACTTTTTGTGATTTTTTTTTTTCCTATCTTTTTGAGACAGGGTGTCACTATGCAGTTCAGGCTGGCCTTGAGCTCACAATAATCCTCCTGCCTCAGCCTCCCAAGTGCTGGGGTTATAGGCGTGTGCCACCACACCCAGTGACTTTTTGTGATTTACATAGCTGGTCAAAATTACTGTGGTGTAATTTTGATTTGCAGCAGATACTTAATATACATCTACTATGTGCCAAGTATCACTATTTGACAGTATAATGGTGAGAAAATCAGACATGGAATTAATCAAATAATCTACAAATTTAAGTAGAGATTGTTATGATCTCTTTTACTCCCTAGCATCATTTCAAAGCAAATAGTACTCTAAACAGTTGGGTGCCAAACTTGAATCCCTTACTCATGAGTGTATAGTACATTTGTCTCTGTGTGTATGTGTAGTGCTAGGAGTTCTAACCCAGGGCCTTAGGCATGCTAGGTAAGTATTATATTACTGAGCTACACCCCAATGCTATTATTCTACTTAAATGACAGATAATACAGATTTTAAGGGAAATGAATTGAAAAAGAAAGAGGTTATCCATGCTAAATGAAAGACTTTTTGAGGAAAATAGGTATTAAGACTGTCCAGGTAGAGAAATAAAGAATATTATGTCTCTGTCCATAACCCAGTATAGCAGTGATGATTTTATACCTAGGCTAGATACCGTGCACATAAAATCCAGCTCTGAGTAGGCAATTTCTATTCATTTGCCTGTGTAGTATACCTTGTGCCCTTCACCCAGCCGTAGTCAGCTATGTAACATGTATGGTATTGAACTCAAGCAAAGAAGATTAGAAATGTGAATTTCTATAATTCAGTGATAGATGATGCCATAAACTAACAGTATAGTTTTCTGATCTCTGCAGAATTTCATTTTTTCAGTGCTGGGGTTTGAACCCAGGGCCTTGCACATATTAGGCAAGCACTTTACTACTGAGCTATATTTCCTAGCCCTTATATAATTTTTGAACTCACTTCTCAGTTACTGTTCTCTTTAAAGGTCCAGGAATTAATTTTATTCCAGCTTGTCTTCTGTACTTGTTACATCAGATTTGGGGTTTCTAGATACCATTAATACATCAGGGTGCTTTCAGTTTGAGAGAAATCCTACTCAGGCTGGCAATAATAAAAGAAATTCCTTTTCTTTCTATGTAGGGGTAGAGCAAATATCTGGATGGGTGGATTCAGAGGCTTAACAATATCATCAAGATCTTGCTCTCTTTCCATCTGTAATCCATACTAACAGCTTTCTCTTAGGCTGTTTGTTCCTCAAGTTTCTCTACCTCCTGGATGACTACCAGCAGCAGCTGCTCTTTCTTTGTGCGTGTGTGTAGGGAATGAGAGTAGAGATAGTCTTGCAATGTTGTCCAAACTGGCCTTGAACTCACTATGTAGCCCAGGCTGGTCTCAGACTCACAGCAATCCTCCTGCCTCAGCCTCCCGAATGCTGGGATTGCAGGTGTGCACCACCATACCTGGCTGTCTGGTTTCTTTAATGCCACTCTTGACTTTGACAGTCCAGGCTCTTTACAGCAACAAGAATAATCTTGATAGTGTAAGTCAAATTTGACTTCTCAGGAGACTCCAAGTGCCTTTTTGCAATTAAACCAGAAATCTAGTCTACTTTCCTGGCCCATAAACCCCTGCATGATCTGGCCCCTACTTGCTTTGTTCTCATCACATCCCTTTTCCCCCCTGAACACCACACTCCAGCCACACTGGCCCACTTTCAATCTTAAACATACCTAGTTTGTTCCTGCTTCAGGGCTTTCACATACTCTATTCCTCTGTCTCCTACACCCACCTACCCTCCCCCTTCATGACACTCTTAGCTCAAAGGTGGCTGCTTCAGCAGGTCCTTTTCCTCTCTAAAGGAGCCTTAGAACCTCAGGTACCAGCTGGCCCATTAATTTGATTAATTACCTGATGAATTACCCTGACTAATTTCTCTCAGAGCACTTGGGCTTATCTGAAAATGATGGTTTGTCTATTGTGTGACTCCAGGTACTGGGGATGTCTACAGAGGAGTTTTCTAATTATAAAAAATACCAGAGAAAGCTATTAGAAGTCATCTACCCATTTCCCTGCTTTAACAAGTACAGTGGATGTGGACTAGAGAATAAGTGACATGCCTGAGGATTAGAAAAGCCAGGTCCCCCTTCCCAGCCCAGGGAAGGAGGGGACAAGGCTAAAAGCATGGACTCAAGAAGACCTGACTCCGGGCCTCGTGGTGCTGCTTACCAGAGTGTACGACCTTGGTGCTCATTCTGTTTTCTGGTCACCTTTGTAAAACGGAGATGATGGTGGTGCTTCACTCACAAGACTCATGAGGATTGAATGAGATGACACGTGTCAAGCATCCGGTACAAGGCCTGGCATAGTGCTGACATTTGTTGAGTACTCATAGGGCCCTGGGGGATGCAGACAGTGATCCGACCACAGGTGGGCCCCAAGCAGCTGCTCTCTCTACCCACAGCCTACTTGCCAATCTGCCCTGTTCTGGGACAAGCAAACTGAGCAGAGTTTCTCAACTCTGAATCCCTAATTAAAGAGAAGAGATGACATCCATGACTGATCATATAAACAGTGTAGATTCCAAGTTCTCCTCTCCTACTGCCCCTAGTCCCCCTCTTCACCTCTCCCCACAAGCAATCTAAATAAGAACATATTTTACCACCCACCTTGTGGGCAGACTCTAAGCTGAGGCTGGGACCAGCTATTTATCCTTCGGCTGCTGCAGGAATTCTACACATACAAATAAAGCTCCTTTTCCAGCCAAGTGTGTATTTTTCCATCAGCATGTGCCACCACCCTCACCGCGCCCCCCCCCACCAGGTTGTCTTGTTTAGGTTGGGGAAGCCTGGGGGAGGGCAGGGTAGGGAGTGGGTATAGGGCTGTGGTTTCAGAACCTGCTCCCCAGGCTGGCTGGCTGCAGGGCAGCTTGCAGTTCTGGACTGTACAGGGATGCAGCGAAGCCTGGGATGATGGACACAGACATGCTATGCACAGGAACACATTCCACTTCTTCCTTGCTTCCTATCAAGTTGCCCCCACCTCCTGCCATGGCCCCCAGAGAGTGCCCATCCCTCTCCAAGTCAATTTATATCCGGGACAACAGGTTATCCAGTGTCTTATCCCTTCCTCCCTCCCATCCCTGCTGCAGGGTTTCCTCCTTGCATATGCTGCTTTCCCTTGTTTGTCTTTCCCCTTGATACCACGTCCCACTAGACTGCTTCCTTTCTTCTATTGTTTTCCTCCTCTACCCAGGGTCCCAAAACTCTTCTTCAGAAAGGGGATGCTTTGCCAGTTCCCTCAAACCTCATTGCCAGGTACCAAGCTAAGCTTTTTACTTGAAAACCCTTTCTAAGCCGGGGATGTAGCTCAATGGCACAGCACCTCCCTGGCAAGTGTGAGGTTCTGAATTTGATTCCCAGTACCTAAAATAACAAAAAACAAAAAGCAAAAAAACAACAAAACAACCTCTTTTCCATCACATTTAGAGTTTAGGGTGTATTAGTATTCCCATTTTACTGACGGTTAAACCAAGATAGAAAAAACCTAAGAACAATTGGCTGCAAATGGCAAGTCTGGGATTCAGACCCAGCCCTATCTTACTCCTGAGTCATATTTATCAATCGTACAGATTCTGTCCTATTATTTATACATCTGTCTCCTCAGTTCTCCCAGGGTAGCTGCAGGGTAACGAGCAAGTTCCCCCTTTGGCTTCCTCCTGCATAAAATGAGCCAGTGGCTTGGATGCTCTCAGCATTCTCCCAATTGCTGACGCTTGGCAGTTCCACAGTTCTAAAGCTACCTGCAGAATCCAAGCAGGCAGTGCCGTTTATTCCATTTCCCATCTTCCCTTTCCGTTCTCCCTTCCCTCAGCATTCTCTGGCCCTAGGTTGCCCCTGGCACCTCCCACCCAGTCCTACCATCCACACCTGGAGCCTGTGCTGACACTCTTGCCCATCAAAGTTCTAATCAGTAGCTGTCCGCTTCCACGCTCACAACTGGTAAGAGGGTGGGTTTACTCCTGCTCCTCCTGGGAAGGGGGTGATGTAGAGAAGGTCTTGTGAAAGAAGGCTTCTTCCCAGGCAAGGGACAGAAATCTAACTCTCATTTCTGCAAAGAAACATCATTGGTTCACACCCTTAGAAGTCTAAAAGGGGCTACTAGGTACAAATGCTCAAATAATGCCTTCAGGATTCATTTCTCCCCAACTGGCAAGATAGACACCAGCAGCCATACAACCTACTAGTCCAGCAACTCTGCTGAGTACTTTTTTTTATGGTACTGCAGATAAATAGATAAATCACATGGACTTCACACTTTACTACACCCTCTAATTCTTTCTCAGCTTTTTAATGTTGAGGCAGGATCTCACTAAGTTGCTCAATTGCCCAGGTTGGGCTCAAACTTGTGATCCTCGAGCCTTAGCTTCTCAGAGTACTGGATTTATAGGGTGAGTACTTCCTTCTTCTCAGCTCCACAAAAGTGCTCATTTAGGGTCTCATTAGGTGGACTTGGGATTTGAGCTTATCCTTGGACCAGTCCCTGTGGCCAGGTAATAAGAAAAACTGACAAGTCCTAGGTCATATTCCCACCTGTGGAACCCAGAGTGGAGTCAACCCTATCTGAACCATAAGCAATAGAGAGCAGTGTGTGTGTGTGTGTGTGCGCGCGCGCGTGTGTGTGT